GAGTCAATTCCAATCTTTTTCTTTGGCAATTTTATTGTAAAAAAAGTTTAATATCTGTCAGTCATTTTTTGTTTTTGCTTCTGTTCTCTGTCTTGCACTTTTCTCCTCCCAAAAAACGTTAAGTATTTCCTAAAAATCAGTGGATGACCCAAACTTTCTGGAACTTGGGGGGCAGGCAGTCATAAATGTGTCCTCCAAGTGTGGCAATTTTTGTCCCAATAGTTCTAAAAATGACAGAAAGGGGAGCCTCAAGAGTTCCCCCATTGCCACCAATGGGCCAGACTTTCCCAGAATGAAAATGGTATGTTGGACTAACGGAACAAGAAACAATATTTTTCCCCTCTAGATATCGGGATGTTCCCAAAAAACAAAATGGTGGCTGACAAAAATCGGCACGAAAACAGTACGCCCCCCCCCCCCCCAATTGCATGCCCCTAGAAACAGTAGAAACAGTGGGAAATTTCCATATGATGAGATCTCAGGATTCTGCATGGGAGATGCAGCTGTAGTGGCCTAGCTATCATCCATCTCCTGATCTGACCCCCTAAAACCCACCTCAAAAGCTAGGTAGCCACCACAATCCAAGGTGTCCTGCAGCACTGTTGAGCTCAAGGAGGGTTCCTATTATTAGCCAATCACAGTGCAATACATAATTGTAGGAACCCCTGAAAACTCCTACTGCAATTGTTTGTTATGCTGTGGCTTTGATGCAGGAGGGATCTGAATGTCTCGTTTTCAGCACCCTTTGGTTTGCGTGGCTACCTGACTTTTATGGTGGGATCATGGGGGTGGTGCCACTATCATAAATGTGAACATGAGCTGCCAGATATTTCAGGGAACAAATAAAAAATATGAATCAAGACAGTAACACTACAAAACTATGTATTGTAGTGCCAATGTCCATTTCTTCTTGATAGGCCTATTCGGTTTCAACAGCTATGGGCAACAAATTCAGCACACAAGTGGCATCAATAACTTTGTTGCTGGCTAAGGCTTATGCTGCGACAGGAGAAGAAAAATATTTTGGTAAGTAAATAGCAAGGCATAGGAAAAAGTCTTTTTATTTCTTTTCCAAGTGGTCACATCAAATTGGATTGTTTTGTTTTACTGTGGAGTCTGGCTGGTGATGCAGCAGGTTAAACCACTGAGCTGCTGAACTTGATGACCAAAAGCTTGGCGGTTCAAATCTGAGGAGCGGGGTGAGTTCCCACTGTTAGGTCCAGCTTCTGCCAACGTAGCAGTTCAAAAACATGCAAATGTGAGTAGATCAATAGGTACCACTTCTGCGGGAAGGTAACGGCACTTCAGTCATGCTGACCACATGACCTTGGAGGTGTCTATGGACTTTGGCTTAGAAATGGAGATGAGCACAAGCCCCCAGGGTTGGACACGACTAGACTTAATGTCGGGGGAAACCTTTACCTTTTACTGGCTCCTACCTATCTCCACATGACTTTAGAATGAACTTTGCCAGATACTGATATGAAAAGACATCATGAATTGGCTAAGTATGCTCCTTTCTCACTAAATAATTGGATAGTATACTGCCTCCATGCCTTACCTTATGTCGGGTTTTATTTTGGTTTTTCCAAGGCCTAAAACATGCTCCCCAACTATCTTCATTTGGCAGGAATAGTCCAATTAATACTCTGATATCCCCACTTTTCCAGCTGTTTAAAAATGTCCTGGTTCTTCTTTCCTCATTTGCCCACAGCTAACTTCAATTGCTGCAAAATGAGTTCAAAGCGTAAGAGTAATATGAATTCAGTTCAGTTAGCAGGGGAGAAGAGTCACCTGCCTCCAAGCTTGTATGTTTTTTTTTTTTGTCATTAATCCATTTTGCCATCTTGGCCTCATGCTGGTATTACTTATTGATTGACTGGATTTCTATCCCACTTCTGCCAAAGCGAGATTCATGGCTACTATATAGGAATTTGGACCTACTTAGCCACATATATCCTTGTGTTTCTCAATGAAATATATGAGGGCATACTAGACACCTGTTATTTAGCTTTATGTGAAAACCTGGAACTTTGGAATTATGGTTCATGTGGTGGATGAAATTTCCCTCCCTTTCCCCCATAAATGCCATGAATGTTAGAAGGAGCTAGATTTTTGCTTTCAACCTTTTAGGAAAAGAGGAAAAATAACTCAATGTATCCCATCTCCTTTAATCAAACCTTCAAGTGTACCGTTCTTGAGGGCGGGCAACTGCTTAATACTAAACATATATTGCATTCGTATTTTAGGAGCTACTGAAAAATATTTCACTGAGAGCCTTGCGGCTTACCAAGAGGCACTTGGCACAGACCATTCTCAGACAATTCATGTTGTGGAAGACTACAGCAAATGGCTGGCACGAACGGGAAAAAGAAAGGTAACTACATATTCATTTGGATTATAATCCTGCAGAAAGCAAGGAGGGGATTCACAACTGGCAAGCACTGTTGATCAACTTGTTTCAATATGATATTGCCAAGAGCAGTCTTCTTCAACCAGGCACTTTCTGTAGTCCATTTGTTTTGAACTACAAATTCCATCAACTTAGGCCATTGCTTACCATGGAAGCTACAAATTGCCACAACATCTGGAAGATGGCACTTTGGGAAAGACTGTCCTAGGGATTAAGGGTTGCACTTTCAACATTATCAGTGCTATGTAATGCCACCCTGAACTTTTTGTTAAATGAGTTACAAAAAGCCAATTGTGTTTAAAGCAGTTTAAGGGGTTGGTTGAGATTGAAATCATCATGAATGTCATGAGTCAGGTTTGTGGCCACTACGAAGTATGTATACCGGGGTCCTTAGATGTCTTTAGGGTGCCAAGAAGCACTCCTCACCATCCCTATTCCCCCTTAAAATGTAGTATTTTATCTTATTGGTGAGGCATGAGCAAATCAGAGAAAAATATAAAGCAGCCACTGTTAGTTAAAATAAAGTTTGACTGGTTTTGAATGCACATCTAATATTAAATGATTCAGTATCCTGTGGTATAAACTTCCCATGTCTTTGCAGTCTATACCCGATCTTTACAAAACCTAAGAAAGAGATAATTACAAAACTGAATGTGTTACATATAAGACCCAACAGTATATAACAGCAATGCTGGATTTTATAACCCCTCTCCCATACATTTGCCTTGATTATCTACTAAATGAGAATTTAAACAGGAATCACTTACATCAATGCTCTTTGATCATTTTTTCGTTTCTTTCTTTTCCCAGCTAGCTTATAACTTACTCAAAGAGTCTTTTAGATCTCAGAAAGATCCCTGCAGTGATTTTCATGAAAATGCAACTGAGAGATTGTATATTATGGGATGCATCTGTTTGGCAGAGGAGAAAATAACAGAAGCTTATCTGCTGCTCAGTAAGGTCATTATCATGTTTTTCTGCAAAGCCTTTATCAAATAAAAGCTGCATATGCCCCATAAGAGGTATGTAGTAGGACTTCTTAGTAGGTAGGTAGGTATGTAATAGACTTATTCATTCAGTGACTTCCCCAACATTTTGAACTGGTTTGCTGTGTTGAGAGGGGTTGCTGTTGGATTGCAATTTCCATTATCTCCAGTTCGCATGGCGGATAATCAAAACTGGTGGGAATTGTCATGTAATAACATCTGGGGACCCGAACTGGACAATACCATTATAGTTAGCCTTCTGTATCCAGGGATTCTCCATCCATGGATTCAGTGGCCCATTAAAGGCAAACATAAGGCTAATGTGGCACTCACTAAGATTATTTATTTTTTAATTTATTTCGGACATTTGTATCCTGTCCTATCTCGACCTCCGCAGAGGGACTCAGGACGGCTAACAAAACAGCACCTCATGGTGTCCACAACCAAGAACAGAAATATACAATTTAAATAACAATATAGCAATAAAATAGTATAAAACAGTGTAAAACAGTGTAAAAGAGTATAAAAACAACAGTTGCTGGCTTAAGTCATCGTCCATGAAGCAGTCAGTCAGTTCCATAAAAGCCGTCACGTCAGGGTTTAACTACTATAAAGCATCAAAATGCAGACCTGTGACAAGAAAAGCTGGAAATGTCCCTTTTTTGGACTAATTTCTAGTATCTTATAGCTAGAGTTTGATTTGGGGTGTTGTGGTTCTGGAAACTCTTCCATGGCCAAGAATCAGTTTGTGAACAACCACCTCACCTTGATTAAGAAAGGGAATTACAAGATCGGCTAGTTCAACAGCAGCCTCCTAATCATGATAGATCACAGGCCTGTTATTCAATTTTTCTCTATCTAAACTGATAAAGGAAGTTCATAAACCTATGCAGAGGAATGCACAAAATAACAAATTAGTAATTCAATAATACTGTAATAATATTATCTTTCACTTATCTTCTATGCAGTGTGCGCAGATTCAAGTTGCTATTTATGGCTCTCATCATAGAAAAACTAAAAAGATACAAGAGCTACTGGACAGATTGGTGAGGTAAGTATTTATGGCATAGCACTGGATAAGTAAAATCACAGATAAGAGGTTACTTAGGCATGGATCTCACGTGCTTCATAAAGGTGTGCTTGTCAATCAGAAACCTTAGCAAAGATCTTTCTCCAACTATGGAACATTTAACAATTTAACCAGTGATTCTAAGGAAATTTGTTGGGAGAAAATAATCTTTAGTCAAAACCAGTCAGAGCGATTTTGTATGTGTTTTGGAAGAGTCAACATTTTGATTAGGATCAAAGCTGATACAAATCCCTCTCCAAAATTTAAAAGCATTCAAAGCAAATGTATTCAGATATGTCTTTTGGTGCAAATGGTGAATGTAAAACTACTACATGTTGCATTCTTTGTTGCCCATTGGTACAACAAGACCATTGTGGACAATTGCAAAAAAACAAGCAACCAAAGAATTCTGGATGTGCTGAAAATCATATCATATTATGTGCTGGTCAAATCATATAATATGCATGCATTAATGAATTATTCAATGTTTGAACAGGCTTCAGGTTTCTAGTTGGCATTGCTGGCCAAGTAAAAAAATACTGGTAGCCAGATTTTGTTTTGTTGTATTAAAAAACTCTAAAATCAGGACAGTAAATAAAGAGCAACACTAAAAAAGCAGAGGAATTCCAGACAATAATCAATTAGATCCAGCTAACACCTCTCAACAACGAATGTCCTCAGGCTGCAACCAGCCTGGCTTTGAAGCTGCAAGGTCTTTGAATGCTAATCAAGGTGGCCAACTACAACATTCACACTTGTCTCAAGCAGACAAGAGTTCTTTCTTCCACCCTGGACATTCCAGATATATAAACCCCATTTGCCTAGTTTACAACAGACCTCACAACATCTGAGGATGCCTGCCATAAATGTGGGTGAAATGTCAGGGGAGAATGATTCTGGCACATGGCCATAGAGCTCAGAAAACTCACAGCAATCTAGTGATTCTGGCCATGATAAGCCTTCAACAACCCTATTATATTGTTTAAAAAAATAAATTCCAAAATTTGTATAAGTATGAAAAATTCTTTATTTTTTTACTGCAGGGTCTCTGCTGTACACGAAACGTCCACGCATTCAAAGCAGAAGAGAAAGGGGACACTAGATTTCCCAATACTAGATTTCTAAGATATTGGAAACCAGGAAAGATATCTTAAACAACAAAAGTAAACATATGTCTTTTTTTATATTTTTAGTCATCTGTGCAATTTTAGTAATGAATTCTATTGGACTTCTATTATGCAGTTAGCAAGATGTCCATCAAATGAATTCTATTGGACTACTATTATACACTTAGCAAGATGCCCATCAAAGAGCAGGAATGTTTTGACATCAATAGCATGGCGCAGCTTGTCACTGAGAATTTGCAGGGTTCAGACATTTAAACAGGTGGGGAGGAAAAAAAAAGAATTGGACTGATAACTGGCTGCTGCTTATCATAGGAAACTTTAACTGCTCTGGAAGCTCAATCAATAAATGTTAAGGTATAACAACTGTACAGTCAAAGTTAATTTTTCATATGTTTAACGAGCGCTGACTGTATTCCATTCTGTAAACTTGCGTACTCTTTTGTATACTTTTTTTTCATCTTTTCTGGGGGTTTTTTTTGGGGGGGGGTTGTTGTTGTTGTTTTGTTTTCCTCTGGTGTCAGTTTTGTTTTCTGTATGCAACACAAACCAATAAAATATATTTTTTTAAAAACTGCTCTGGAAGCTTAGTGCTTTTCCAAATGGATGTAGCATTCAGAAGTTTGTGTCCTAGGAAAAGGGTTACACATTCCCCAAACACAATCTATTTGCCTCTGATAGGTGACTCCCCAAGAATGCTGCTGGACTATCCATTCTCTTTACTCCCTTCTGAATCTAAAGACACTGTAGTATTACTTTTACTTAACACTGATTACTGGTTCCAGCTAAAGGACACCTTCGCCTCCAAAACAATGGGATTAATAGAAAATTCAATGAATTTTGGCTTGACAATTAGATATAAAGTTGTATTTGAACAAAGGTTTACAGCTATACTTGAGGTAGTGGTTAAATAACCAGGAATAAACTGCATTTCAATACTATGTCTAATGCATCAAATGAAAGGTGTTAGAAAGGTTATTTTATCTTTCTAGTATCAAGAACCCAATTCATTTCAACAGATTTTGCTTCTATAATCCAAGAGAGGCTTGAATTTTGGTCTCTTTCCCATTGCTCTGCATATTTACCATCATGAGTCTTCTTGCATTCAGAACTGAATATTCTAGATGGCTTTTAATAGAGGAAGAAAATAACAAATGAATTGCATCTCCCAGCCAGTTATATTTCTTGCTCAGTAATGTCCTCATCCGGGCAACAGTAATACTCCACAAAGCAGATCTGTCCATCTTCGTTCCTGATCATGTATTGTAATGAGAGAAAGCCTCGGTTATCTGTCCGAATTGACACTTTGCATGACAAGGCTAATGCTTTAATAGATGGCTTGAGCAATGCGATCTTGTATCTGTAAAAAAGCAAATGTGTCTCATCAATAACAATGATTAACAGCTTATTGACCAAGGCTGATCTCAAACTGACAAAACTCAATCGACCAAAAGAGAATTATGAGAAAGACTGTTTGAATTCCCACATTTTCCCTTAAAGAGTTGGAAGAGACCTCATCGGTCATCCAGTCCAACCCCCTGCCAAGAAGCAGGAAAATTGCATTCAAAGCACCCCCGACAGATGGCCATCCAGCCTTTGGTTAAAAGCTTCCAAAGAAGGGGCCTCCACCACACTCCGGGGAAGAGAGTTCCACTGCTGAACGGCTCTCATCGACACAATACTTTTGAATCAACAATATAGGTCAGCTTTTCAGCAAAGCAAGTGCATTAGATAATACAAAAGAAAAAAGCAAATAACATGAAATGCCTGTCTGAATTCAAATTGTGGAAGCAGGACTGTAAAATAATGGTATTGCCATGGAGCTTGTGAACTGTTCTGGCTCACCTGTTTGTCTGGGTCTGGTTACAGTGAAAAGCTTCAATCAGGTCAGAATCTTTGGGGTAATCTAGATATGCGCTTCCAGCATTCCCAAATGTGGATAATCTTGGGGAAAAAGAAAATATTGAGCATGCAAAAATTGTTCCATACAATAACGGACCAAAACAAAAACTAAATCAATAAATATAAAATATATGTTGTTGAAGGCTTCTGGAACATGGCCATACAGCCCAGAAAACTCACAGCAACCCAAACATAAAATAAAATAAATAAGAGTTCTTTGTCACACCCTGGTCATTCCACAGATATATAAACCCATTTTCCTAGTTCCAACAGACCTCACTACCTCTGAGGATGCTTGCCATAGATGCAGGCAAAACATCAGGAGAGAATGCCTTTAGAACATGGCCATGCAGCCCGAAAAGACCTACAACAACCCAGTGATTCCGGCCATGAAAGCCTTTGAATAAATGTTTGGAAATTTCACTATTTACTAATTCACTACAAGCATGTAGGAGAGGAGTCCTTCTAAATGTTGTAAATTGTTTCCACATTAGTTCTAGATGTTCTAATGTTATTATGTTGTTCATTATCAAAGCGTCTGAAAGTTTGTGGATATCTGTTGTTACAACTGCTTGTCAGGCTCATATCATAAGACTTTTGAGCCTAAATACAGTTAGAATGAGTCCCAACAACCTCACTGGAGTTTAGCCCCCAAAACTTCTCTCAACTTATACAGGAGATAAACCTATACATGACTATATACAGGAAACTTAATGGGATTTATTTCATATGTGCAAGATTGTTCTCTCATATTACCAGGGATCAATCAGGGACATTTTTTTCTGAAGAGCATACTGCTAATCACTGGGCTGTGGCCCACCCTGAAGATGACTATATTTTTGGAGGAACCGAGTATTGTGTTCTAAATCATGATCATAGAATGGCGAGTTATAACTACCATATAGTACCTAAAATAAGGCTTGTCTGGAGACATCGTAATCTGTAGGACCTCGCTGGTCATGTCCAGTTCAGAAAACGCCTCTCGCAGCCCCTCAGACTGCAGGATAATTTTGTTTACAACATTTGTGCTGCAGAAATCAAAATCAAGAATTTCTTCGGGTTCCTGGGTGTTGATTTTGCACACCGTCACCACACCCCCTTCTTCAAGGAAAAGTGTCAGAGGATAGCCATAACCCTGATAACACATCCGAAGGGCTGTCTGAGTTCCTAAAATGAAGAAGAAAAAACCTTACAAAGAAGAAAACACCTGCCATTTTGTGATTTTCGCTGTGCACATGCCTCTGACCATAAGCATCACTGAATACATTTAATTCTGAATTAACATGCATGTTATTGTGGTGTGAAACAGTAAGAACAGTTTGGGGAGGAATAGCTAGAAGACTATCTCCCCTCATATAAACGTGTAGAGAACCTGAGATCTTTAGCAGAGGCCCTGTAGTATACTCATCAGTAAAGTTAGGCAGATGTCTACATAAGGATTTTTATATAATAATAATAATAATAATAATAATAATAATACACTTTATTTATATTTCGCCCTTCTACCCTGGGGACTCAGAGCGGATTACAGCATTTCCATAGAGGCAAACATTCAGTGCCTTTACAATTATATACAATGAGACACACAAACAAAGGCAAAGACTTCTCCTTTCATTTCTGGCTTCTGGAGGTGATACTCATCTCTGGCTCTGGGAAGTGCTTTCCTCCATTTTCAAACTGAGGAGCCTGCATTGTTATCTCCTGATTGTGTGGCCGGCAAGATTGCCTTTTCCCACCAAGATTGTCTCTTTGCCTTTTCCCACCAAAGTGGTACCTATTTATCTACTCACATTACATCCTTTCGAACTGCTAAGCTGGCAGGAACTGGAGCTAACAGACGGGAGCTCACCCGTCTCAAGGATCGAACTGCCAGCCTTCAGGTCAGCAGTTAAGCCAACTTTCAGATCAATAATTCAGCAGCCCAAGAGTTAACTCATCGTGCCACCATGATTCCATGGTGGAACAACACTTCAGTTGTGGAACTCCTTTCTAAGAATGATCAGACAATCTTTGATGAGCTTCTAAATAGGTAGCCAAACTGTACAATTTCACCTAGCCATTAGTTTCTCAAATTGGCTTTTAAAACCTGACCTGAAAGCATGTTTTTAATATCTTTTATTGGATATCATTTTGAGGGACCCAAGATGGCAGAAATAATATTATTAAATCAAAATAAGGTTTTCCTGCTTAAACTGTTCAATAGGCACTGGGAACTGGGTAGCAATTTTATTATTTCAAAGAAGCATTTCTGATTCAATCCACCAGTTTCCATCTAAGTAAATTACAAGGTGAACATCCTGTATAATAGGTTTGGTGAATATGATCTACAAAAACTCACATAAAGGAAATACCTGGGGATGAACTTGTTCCAAAGATGGTCAAGCAGTCTAAAAGAACAGACAGGTTGATTCTGAACATCACAGATTCTTCCTGAACCACAAACTCTTGGAAAATACCTGCCTGTAAATTAGAAAGAAAGGAAACTTGAAAAATTACAACTGGTACCAACATTATAGAAAGACAATTAAATTGGCAATTTACATGTGTTCTTGGAACCCAACTCAGAATAACAAGACCATAAAAGAAAATGGAAATTTTCTTCTCAACCTCACCCTCACTACCTCATTCTACCTTACTATCACAGTACAATACTCTATGGCCCCATCTACACTACCATATAAAATACAGATTAGCTGCTTTAAACTGGATTATATGTAAATGTAGACTAAGGCTCCTTCCACACAGCTGTATAAAATCCACACTGAACTGGAATATATGGCAATGTGGATTCAGATAATCAGGTTTAAAGGAGATATTGTGGATTATCTGCCTTGATATTCTGGGGGCCTTTCCAGAAAGGCCCTATATCTCAAGATCTGAGCCCAGTTTTTTCTGCTTTAAACTGGATTATATGAGTCTTAATGGGATTTATTTCATATGTGCCAGATAATCTGGAATAAACAGAAAACCTGGGATCAGATCCTGGGATATAGGGCTTGTTTGGAAGGGCCCTGGGTTATATGGCTGTGTGGAAGGACCCTAATATAATCCAGTTCAATGCAGATAATCTGGAATTTATATGGCTGTCTAGAAGGGGCCTTAGTCTGACAGATACTACTATATCCCATAGAACTCCCACATGTCATTCCCAATGTTCATTTAATTCCTCCTCCTGAATCCAAGTCATTCCAGTATACTAAAAGGAAAAGAAATGCTGGCATCTCACCTGTATAAATGCATTGGCCTGCAAACACTTTGCATTTTCGACTGTCACCTTGAGTCCATTTGTAGTAGCAACACAGGTGGCGTGATCTTTAAAATGAATGGCTTTCAGGATATTGGACAGGTTCCTGACATTGTCAAGATTTGCTACCAAAACGTGCTGCTCTTCGCCTGTTTCCGCTTGAGTCGAGAGAGGCATGGCTTGGAGAAGTCACTCTACAGCCTCCCCTCCAAGGGCAGGGATTACCAAAGGAGACCTGTAAAGATCCAATTGCATTTTAGTTAAATTGAGAAGTCATAAAATATTATATGAGCATCAGGGCCCCAGTGCTGATAGCACTACGCTGGTTGCTCTGAATTAGAGAAGGGAAAGCATGTGCTAAACAGCGCACCAAGTGAGAGACGCAGCTGCGGCAGGATACCAGTGAAGTAATGTAATGCAGGTGGGACAGGATAACAGTGAAGTAATCCTGTTATCCTTGATTCATTTTTCACCGCTCCTCGTATTTCTCCCTTCCTTTTTATCCTTCCTTCCAATGCAACAACGTTTTTGAATATCTCCAGATAGCCTACATCAGTATGCTTGGCTGTGCCCCCCCCCCCCACTTTCTACCAAACTACCATGTTCACTCACTCCATTGTAGCTGCATCTCTGAGTGCAGTCTCTCACGCACATGGTGCTGTGTCTGGTGCACGTGTTCCCTTCTCTAATTCAGAGCTGCGTTATGCAACCACTGGGTCCCAGCTATCATACTTTCATTGCTTTTGGGAGGCACAGGGTGTATCTACACCAAGCATGGGCCGGGTGTTTTGGACTTCAACTCCCACAGTTACTAACAGTCTACTTGCTGTTAGGAATTGTGAGAGTTGAAGTTCAAAACACCCAGAGGGCTGAAGTTTGCACATTAATGCAGATCAACACAACTTTAACAGCCATGGCTCAGTGCTATGAGACCCTGGGAGGTCTTTAGCTTTATCTGTTAAAGAGTGCTGGTGCCTCACCAAACTACAACTCCCAGGATCCCATAGCATTGAGCCATGGCAGTTAAAGTAGTATGAAACTAGAATCATAGAATCATCGAGCTGGAAGAGACCTCATGGGTCTCCAAGCCAACCCCTTGCCAAATAGCAGGAAAATTGCATTCAAAGCAACCCCGACAGATGGCCATCCAGCCTCTGTTTAAAAGCTTCCGAAGAAGGAGCCCTCTACCACACTCCGGGGCAGAGAGTTCCACTGCTGAACAGCTCTCACAGTCAGGAAGTTCTTCCTCATGTTCAGATGGAATCTCCTTCCTTGTAGTTTGAAGCCAGTGTTCCGCATCCTAGTCTCCCGGGTGGCAGTAAACAAGCTTGCTCCCTCCTCCCTATGACTTCCTCTCACATTTTTATACATGGCCACAGGCCCGTAGCCAGGATTTTGATTTGGGAGGGGCTGAGTTCGATTTGAGGGGGGGGGGGCTGAGTCTGAGTGAAAGAGGGTCTACCCTATCAAACGTTTTGTATCATTACCCCAATACCCCCATGCATACGGGATATATTGAGCATGGTGATCAGATCATGATATGAATAAACATAGCAGTTTAAATAATGTACCAGTAAGGCCTTCTCGCGGACCACCATGAGAATTTGGGGGGGGGGCTGAAGCCCCTCAAGCCCCCCCCTCCCTTGACAATATAGCTAATTGCTATACCAGGGGTCCTAAAACTTTTTAAACAGAGGGCCAGGTCACAGTCCCTCAAACTGTTGGAGGGCCAGATTATAATTTGAAAAAAAACATGAATGAATTCCTATGCACACTGCACATATCTTATTTGTAGTGCAAAAAACACTTAAAACAATACAATAATTAAAATGAAGAACAATTTTAACAAATATAAACTTATTAGTACTTCAGTGGGATGTGTGGGCCTGCTTTTGGCTGATGAGATAGGATTGTTGTTGTTGTTGTATGCTTTCAAGTAGTTTCAGACTTAGGTTGACCCTGCGTGAGGGCCAGGTAAATGACCTTGGAGGGCCGCATTCGGCCCCCGGGCCTTAGTTTGAGGACCCCTGCTCTAATCTGTTCAGATCGTTTTGAATTCTGCTCCTGTTTTCTGGAGTATTGGCGATCCCTCCCAATTTGGTGCCGTCTGCAAACTTGATGATCCTGCCTCCTAACCCTTCATCTAAGCCATTAATAAAGATGCTGAACTACATTAATATTACACTGTAGATGCATCCAAAGCCAGGCAAAAATTCACCAGGTGGAGCCTTACCTACTTGACAGCTGGAAGGTAGCAGCCAAAGAGGAATTGCCAGCCTATTGGTTGAAAGGTGAAAAAGGCACGACAGGGAAATAAATACAAAGCAACTGGTAGTAGTTGCTTTACGACAAGTAGTAAAAGAGCCTCTCATTCGCTCTCCAGCGACAGGGGGAGGAGCAGCAAAGCTTCCTCTCTGTGTCCCTTGCCAAAGAAAGCCCTTTGAAGCCTATGAGGTCGTCATACACCGCAGAAAGACTGAGAAACAGGCAGAGCTAAGGCTCTTTAGCCTTCTCTGCCAGGGATTGCACCAAAATACAAATCCCTGGAGCCATGGCAGTTAAAGCAGGACCAAACCGCATTAATTCCACAGTGTAGATGCCTCCCAAGTCACAAGCAACTCTTGCTGAAATTCTCTTAAGAAACTCACAATGCCACTCGACCTAATATGAACCCATATACAGTTTCATATTCTATTCTTCTTTCCCTCCTGCTCTCAGCCTCAGTCTACTCAAACCGGAAGTTTGTGTCTAGGGATGGAACTCTCTGGTTGATGAATTCTTGGAGCGTCCGCTTGGTGACGCCACTTCCGCTTCCTCTGAGGGCGGCAGGCAAAGATGGCGGCGGGCAAGAGGCAGCGTGGAGGTGCCGGGCAAGGTAACGCGGCGGGGCCGAAAAGGAAGCGGGCGAAGAAGGCTCCGGAGGCCAAAGCCGAGAGGGAAGAGAAAGAAGGTCCTGCCGGAGGGGTGGGCCCAGAGGAGCACCACATCCCGGCCCCGGTCTCGCAGGTGAGGCTGAGGTTCCACCTACACCAGGCCTGGGCCAACTTGGGCCCTCTCTCCAAGTGTTTTGGACTTCAACTCCCACAATTCCTACCAGCCTACCAGCCTATTGTGGGAGTTGAAGTCCAAAACACCTGGAGGGAGGGCCCAAGTTGGCCCAGTCCTGTTCTATACCATTCAGCCATATAGTGTAGATGCACCTCATGTGGTATCTAGAGATGTAATGTTCAAGGCGATTTCCCCTCTTCCCAGAACTGATCTGTATCGTCCTTGTATCTTTCAGGGCAAATGGAAAAACAAAGAGAGGGTGCTCATTTTTTCCTCCAGAGGCATAAATTTTAGGACAAGGCACCTGATGAAAGACCTGCGAACACTGATGCCTCACTCCAAAGCAGGTAATTTCAGATATTGCATGTATTTGATTTCTAGTAAGCTGTTTATTTATCGTGTCAGGGGCAGACCAAACAGTTGCATTGCATTTTTTTAACAAACAGACAGACAAACAAAACACAAAGTTTGCAAGCTTGGTAGTTGATTAATTTATTATTTTATTTATTTATTTACTTACTTTATTTGTATACCGCTCTTCTCAGCCCTTAGGCGACTCAGAGAGGTTTACAACAGTTTAGGTATACACAATACAAAATCATTAGGCATTTAAAAGCAATAGCATCACAAATCATTAAACATCAGTATCAATACATCAGTACATCAATATAACAAATCCATCAGGTCTCATCAATGAAATCAGAATCCAAACCCGTTATCCATTATTCCGTGTTCCGATAATCAGTCAATCAATCACACTGCTTAGTCGAATGCCTGTTCAAACAGCCAGGTCTTTACTTTCCTCCGGAATGCCAGCAAGGAGGGGGTCGAGCTAATATCCGCAAGAAGGGTGTTCCACAGCCGAGGGGCCACCACTGAGAAGGCCCTGTCTCTCGTCCCCGCCAGGCATGCTTGTGAAGCCGGCGGGATCGAGAGCAGGGCCTCCCCAGATGATCTTAATGTCCTAACTGGTTCATAGGATTAAATGTCCTTTGACCAGTAGCTAGCCACTTGGAGTGCCTCTGGTGTTGCTGCAAGAAGGTCCTCCATTGTGCATGTAGCAGGGCAGTAGGTGGTCTGTGGTTTGCTCTTCTCCACACTCGCATGTCGTGGATTCCACTTTGTAGCCCCATTTCTTATGGTTGGCACTGCATTTGAATTCAATATTCCTGCTTCTTGGCTGGGGGTTGGACTGGATGGCCCATGAGGTCTCTTCCAACTCTTTGATTCTATGATCTCGTGGTGCCAGAGTGCAGTCTGTTCAGCGCCTTCCAAGTCACCCAGTCCTCTGTGTACCCAAGGGGGAGTCTCTCATTTGGTATCAGCCATTGGTTGAGGTTCTGGGTTTGACCCTGCCACTTTTGGACTCTCGCTTGCTGAGGTGTTCCAGCGAGTGTCTCTGTAGATCTTAGAAAACTATTTCTTGATTTAAATCATTGATGTGTTGGCTGATATCCAAACAGGGGATGAGCTGGAGATGTCACTGCCTTGGTCCTTTCACTATTGGTTGCTACTTCCTGGCGGATGTCAGGTGGTGCAATACCAGCTAAACAGTGCAATTTCTCCAGTGGTGTTTCTCTAGTAAGCTAAAAGGTCTGGAAACCAAGCCCTATGAGGAAAGGCTTGGAGAAAGGGACATGAGAGTCATGTTTAAATATTTGAAAGGATGTCACGGCAAAAGTATGATAGCTGGGACCCTATGCTGGTTGCGCACCGCTGGTTAGAATTCATGAAGGGAAGATGTGCGCGAGACAGCAAGTCAGAGACACAGCTGCAAGGGAGGAGTGTGAAGAGCCCTCAGTCTGCACAGTTCCCATTTCTTTCTATTTGATTCATAGTTGAGCTGCTTCACCTGCCTTTCAAAATACCCTTGGCATGAAGAGTAACATTGAATATTCTGTTGGATGAGGTTCATTTCACATTTGTGGGTCTTTCTAGATCCAGCTGTTGGGGCTGAATGTGCCAAGATCTTTTTTAAAAAATGGTAATTGCTTCACAAATCTGCTAGATAACACTAGTGCTTTGTGGAGAGGGCTGTGTACATGTAATCTCAGCAGTTGAATTCGAAAGTGGAAGCTGCTGAACAATATTTTTAAGTTAATTTAATACATATTTTCATTGGTTCTGCAGATACCAAAATGGATAGAAAAGACAAGCTCTTTGTTATTAATGAGGTAAGTTATGATAGTTCTGTTTTCTCACAACTACCTTGAATATACTGACTGTTCATTGGAATTCAGCTTGCTCCTGTCCATACCCTAAACTTTCTACTATGCCCTTCAATGACTTCTAACTGAGTTAACATCAATATATGAGAAGAATGAACATGTAAAGAAAATATAGCAAGCATAAGCATTAGTATTGTCAATGACCATAGTTTGCTTGTAATGAGTAATGTATGACTGATGGGACACTGGTGTTTTAGTCATAACAATAAAACTATTTTAAATAATGCTACTACAGATTTTAAAACCTCCTTTGTGTTCTACAATTCATGTTGCTTATGCTCAGTGGTGTTAGAATTTTTACTCCTAATGGATTTATTTGGGAGTTTTTAATGTTTATATCCAACAACACTTCTCTTTTTTATATTCTTAACATTTATTGTCAGTGAGGCCATTAAAAAACATGACAATTAAAAAAACATGTCATAATGGCTCCCAGGTACTTTGATACGGTGATTAGCAGAATTTAAGAAACGAATGACTGGAGACCACTTGTCTAGTACACCACATGTAAACTGCACCTACATCAATTGACTCTCTCCTGTTGCACTCTGGAGACTAACCAGAAAAACATCATCATTTGCTTCTGGATTGATTAAAATGTTTCAAAATCAGTGATTTTGATTCTTCTTCATACAGGTTTGTGAAATGAAAAATTGCAACAAATGCATATTCTTTGAAGCGAAAAAGAAGCAGGATCTTTACATATGGTGAGAAAAAATATTTAAATTGGGAAGTTTATTTCAGTATCTTCTAATTTATGACTTACAGACATTTCTGGGGCCCCTTCTACACTGCACTATATCCCAGGATCTGATCCTAGATTATCTGCTTTAAATTGGATTATATGAGTCTCCACTACCAGATATTCTGGGATAAACTGATAATCTGGGATCACATCCTGGGATATAGGGGCAGTGTGGAAAGGGCTTGAGAAGAAGTAAAAAGTGGAGAAAGAACCTTATTATTTGCCAGATACCTAACTGTTTCTCTTTTTGTAGATTCTTAACATTACCTAAAATGTGTGAGAAAATTAGGAAACCAATTCCAAATATCATGATTCACTTACACTGGGAGTAGCAAAGTAACAGACTGCACCTGTTCTGGATTTCTCTGGTTTCCTGTTTGACTCGGTACAATAAATAACCAGATATTCTTTCTTAGTTGGAAGGTCAAACTCACCTTCCGCTTAGCCTCACCAGTTATATTCTTTCCCACTGGTAGAAATTCAAATATAAACAAATCTGTTTACACTTGTGCCAGCCTTGCATACTCTAGCTCACCTGTTGATTTCTGTGCTCTGTTCCCAATTTTTCTCTCATGCCGCAATTCATGGTATACTTTAGTGCACACTTCTTTGTGTAGTATATTGATAGATATTTACCTCATGATAGCAGTATTGTGGAGACTGTTTTTCTTCCTTCAGAAGAGAAAATGAAGGATTTCAACTAGGACATTCCAGGTGAATAGCAGAGTTCTAAGCATTCTGGATCATGCTTTTCTCTTCTAGTTATGAGATTGGGGTAGGAAGAGGATGTATCCGTCAGAGGTTAACTGTAATTCCAGTCAATTCTCAGTATTGTATATCCTGGTTTAGACAGATGGGCACCATGTTTCACTCGCATTGGCTAAGCCGCACTTTGCCCACCAATACCTTACTCAGCCAGCCGGGGTAAGGATAATAATGAGATATACCAGTATACAGATTGGGTTGCAGTGCTCTGAGGCTTCTTTGCTGGTGTACCTCCTGCCATGTAATTTTAAAGATCTAATAAACTTGCACAGGATAGAAAGGGAGTTGATGTGTCCAGTTGAGGATATTTCGTGTTCAGCCAAGCAAATACTTATTTACAAGATATTCCTTCTGTTCTGTGACATCTCAATAACTTTGGTAAGGTTTAACTGGTTTTATTTATGGCTAGATGGCTACACCTTGAACCAAATGACATAACTTCAATACAATTAGATTTCCCTCTCTAATGATGTTTGTCATCTGTTTCAGGCTTTCAAATGTACCCCATGGACCATCAGCCAAATTTTTAGTGCAGAACAGTAAGTTCAGATATCTCATCAAATGTATTTTATTGCTCTCAGCTGTTAACCAAATTCACTCCTAAATACCCTAAAAGACACAATTTGTAAATGTTCCTGTCCCAAACCAGTTGTACCACTGTTCCCTTTTTTGTTTTATTATTTTAAAATGGAACAGAACTAATTGATCTTTATTCTGCTTAATATTGTTGCAGTTCACACACTAGCTGAGCTGAAGATGACTGGGAATTGTTTGCGAGGCTCCCGACCTATTCTGTCTTTTGATCCTGTAAGTATAGATCTGCAAGTAACTTTCCATTGTTTTATGGTCAGTTATACTGTTGCTTTTCACTTGTATCTAAAACATGTTTTCTTACAGGCTTTTGATCGGGAGCCACATTACGCTTTACTGAAAGAGCTGTTTATTCAGGTCAGTGTTCAGCAGTTTTCAGATTATTTTTTCCCTGTTCCATGAGTGTTTTTCTTTGCTGTGTTGTTCAGAAAACAGCATGGTCTCAGTGCACCGTGGTATTGTAATGGCAGAGACTGGGGTCCTTGTATCTTTTCAAATATTTATGTGGAGAGGTGAGAACAGCTGCTGGTGGGGAATGCATTTCTGTTGCAAGAGCAGGAGAGGAATTGAACAGACAGGAGTGAACTTTATTCAGTGTGTGCCTCCTTGTAGTGCTGTTCTGATCAGATTTAGTGTTTTGTGTATTTTAAATAGCCAGAAAGTGGGGCGTGGGGAGAACTTTGTTTTGCTAAATCTTATCTGTCTCTACTGTTTTATCCAGTGTTAAGAACATATAGCTCAAAATACCTGGAGGGCTAAAGGAATGCATCTTGCCCTGCACTATTTCTGCAGCTGTCTGATATGCAGGCAGCTACTTCTCTGGATGAGTGTAGGTCTGTTGTTAAACTCAGGCCAAACCAGATCTCATGTTTCTGCTTTAAGATGAACTGTATGTTAAATGTAGACATTTTCAGGCATGTAGTCTGAGTTTTGCAGCACCTTAAATACTAACTAGATTTCTTTGGTGTGAGCTTTTATGGACAGAATTAAACACTATGTTGAATAAAAAGTGATGGTCTTTAAGGTTAATTGTTCATTGTGTTTTGCTAAACATTGATTTATGTTGGCAAAATTCTGGTCTTTAACTTACTCTAACAATCAGAAGATTGAAGTTGGGGACTTGAAAGGAATCTAGTTGATTTTGCCAAGTCTGAATTCATCTCTGCGTCTACTGTTGTAATGTAGATATACGCTGCATTGTTACTACACCATTGCCCTGTAATACAAACATGTCAGTGTGAAGTCATGCCACGGCAGGATCCAAAATAGTCATATTTACTTACATTCAAGTTTCAATACATATGGGTTATGTATTGCCTTTCCAAGCATCTTGATTTCTCAAAAAACTTTCTTTCTCTCTTTCAGATTTTTAGTACTCCGCAGTATCATCCCAAAAGCCAGCCATTTGTGGATCATGTTTTCACATTTTCTGTAACAGACAATAGGATTTGGTTTCGGAATTACCAGGTTTGTTCTTTTCTTTATGTGATGTGAATTGCACCTCCTTAGAAACACCTAACTGAAATATTACCTTAAGTGCTTTTGTCTGGCACAGACAGGCCTTTGAATGTAAACTATCTACATGCCCCTGTACATTTTTCATCTTACGCTTAAGAACGAATTGTATATCTACATTTAAGAGAGGCTCAGATAAGCTTAAGGAAGAAGCCTGGTTGTTATACTGATCTGGTATGTAAGGGAAGACTCTTTCCGCTAATACAATCCACATTTAAGCTTCCTTTATCCCAGTTTGATCTGAGATTTTTTTGGACCAGTTAGAACTATTAAAGCTTCAAAACATGTAAGCAGCCATTTAATGGAGCCAAAGACAATCTGGCGCCAATATCATGTATGCTAAGAAAGGCAATTTAGCAGGTTTGTACTTGTGTATAGTTGAGAAAAGATATAAAGGATGTAATTTGACTATGTCCAGATAGTTAATATTACATCGGGAGTATTTAATGTAAAATTGTTCATGCTCCCATCAGTGTGGTGGGTGGTTTGCTTTGAAATACATAAATTCTTGCCACTCTTTTGCAGATAGTAGAAGAAGACACAGCCCTTGTGGAAATTGGGCCTCGTTTTGTATTAAATCTTATTAAGATCTTCCAGGGCAGCTTTGGAGGACCAACTCTGTATGAAAATCCTCATTACCAGTCTCCAAATATGGTAAGATCTCTGACTGAACATCCGCTTACAATCTAGTCTGCCTAATGCTTGCGGCTTTATGGGTACAGTGCTTTAGTGCAAGGATGGGGGAAATGTGTCCTTATGTAGCCTTCTAAAACCAGTGTATTTATTTATTTATTTAGAACTTTTATACCCCGGTCTTCTCAACCTCCGTGGAGGGACTCAGGCCGGCCAACAACAGAAAATCCATACACAAATCAACTAAAAACTTAATAACATCATAATAAGTTAAAATACAAACAAAATGCATCATACAGTCATACCTGTGTTGTGTAGGTTGTTTGTAGACAACATAATTTGCACAGCTACAAATATTTACATTAAGATAGCTGCTAACACTAAAGCAAGTTGTTATTTGAATTGATGAAGCTTTCCAGTGTTGTACTCTGTGCATTGGAAGTCCTGGTTTCAATCCTTGTCACATCCAAATCTGAGATTTTTTTTCCCCACAAGTTATTATGTACAGCTCTACTAAATGTAGTTTGACTTTTAAATTGGAACTTGGGTGGGTATGCCATAACTGATTTATTAACTAGGTTTATTTTCTGTTTTCAGCATCGGCGGGCAATACGATTGGCCACAGCAGCAAAATTCAGAGAGAAGCAACAAATGAAAGACTTGCAGAGACTAACTAAAGGGGAAGAGAAGGTTCTTATTCCACAAGATCCAACAGAACAGGTTTTTGATGTCCCGGCTGAAGAAAAACCCGTAACGATAGAACTCGTGAAACCAGAGCTAAAGATTAGCTTGAAAAAGAAGAAGCCTCACCAGCGAGCAAGGAAGTTGAAGAAGAAACTTGGTAGAATTGGAGAGTAGGCCAGAAAGGGGAGAGGAATGATTAATTGGGACTTCATAATGTGGACATTTAATCATTTTTATTAATACTTTTTTTGTAATTTGTGTATAACTTTATAAAGATTAACAGCTGAGGATTGGGCTCATAAAATTTTGTCAAACAACATTTCTGGGTTGCCTTTTATTAAATACGTTAACTTGGCTTCTAAAATGTGTGTTGACTTCAACAAAAAAATACATGAAGCACAGCTTTGAAGATGTTCCCATTGAAGTATCTGTTTTCAATGAAACAGCTCACTTATCTAAGCTCTGTATCATCAGAACAGAAAAGAGATCAACAGTTTCCATCTGTGACAATTAAGAAAACAAAAATGAAATCATTGGTTTTGGTGTGAAGCATTAATATACTGGAAACACAGCAAAAAATTTACATCTTCTTTATTCATTACATGCCTTGGAAAAATGCAGCAAGCACTAAATTAGGTAAAAATATCTTCCTATGCTTTCTTTATCTTCTCTTGGATCCCAGCCTGCTAAGAGTTTTAATGTTGTGCCATGGAGACTGTCATATGTTCTGCTGATGTATTTATCGTGTCAGAAACAAATAGAGAATACAGCTATAATATAAAAAAACCCACAAACATCATGTGTTATACTAAATAATAATAATAATAATAATAATAATAATAATAATAATAATCTTTATTTATACCCTGCCACCATCTCCCCAAGGGACTCGGAGTGGCTTACATGAGGCCAAGCCCAACATCACATCAATAAAAACAATGGAATAAGCAAAATAAACAATACAATTAATATAACTCACACATAAGACAATAACACACAAGGATTTAAAAACCTATGGCCGGGCCAGATGTAATATTTAAAACTTAAAAATAAATGCTGGACACGATCAGAGGATGTATCTAGTAGGAGGATTTTAAACAAAAAGTAAAGAGCAGCCCAACGGGTAATTAAAGTGCTTCTCAGGATATTTTGCAGGGAATTGTTTCCTTTATTCAGGGAAGGCACACTGGAACAGCCACGTTTTCAGGCTCCTCCTAAAGACTGCCAATGTGGGGGCTTGTCCTTTGAACAGTAGCTGACCACTTGGAGTGCCTTTGGTGTCGCTGTGAGAAGGTCCTCCATTGTGGCAGGGCTCAGGCTGCATTGTAATAAGGTTTGTTCTTCTCCACACTCGTGTGTCGTAGACTCCACTTGGTAGGCCCATTTCTTAAGGTTGGCTCTGCACCTCGTGGTGCCACAGCGCAGTCTGTTCCAAGTCTTCTGTGTGCCCAGGAGGGAGTTTCTCATCTGGTATCAGCCACTGATTTAGGTTCTGGGTTTTAGCCTGCCACTTTTGGACTCTGGTTTGCTGAGGTGTTCCTACGAGTATCTCTGTAGATATTAGGAAGCTATTTCTTGATTTAAAGTGTTGGCATGCTGGTGGATATCCAAACGGGATGGACCAGATGTCAATGCCTTGGGCCTTTCAGATATCAGGTGGTGCAATACTGGCTAAACAGTATAATTTATCTAGCAGCGTGGGGCATAGGCATCCTGTGATAATGCGAAATGTCTCATTAAGAGCCATATCTACTGTTTTAACATGGTGAGATGTGTTCTACACTGGGCATGCCTATTGGGCAGCAGAATAGCAAAGCACAAGGGCAGATGTCTTCACTGTATCTGGTTGTGATCCTCAGGTTGTGCCAGTCAGCTTTCACATTTATTTATTTGAAACATTTATATTCTGCTCTTCTTAAACCAAAGGGGATTCAGTCAGAGCACAACATGCAAACAGCAAACATTCCATGCCAGGACATAAAATAACCCTAAATATACACAAACATTATATTGTCATATCTACTTTAAAATGAGCTGTTTTAAACCATCTCAAGACACCATCCTGGCTCCGGCCAGCGGAGTAGGTTCCCTATTACTGCATCATTACACTGCCAGTTATCAATCAGTCTGGTTGCCATAATCTTGGGGGTTTTTTTATGTTTAACTGCAACCCAGCTTTTGCCATTTCTTTCACTTTGGTTACAAGACTTCTCAGCAACTCCTCACTTGCGGCCATCCAAGTGGTATTTATTTATTTATTTATTTATCTATTTACGACATTTCTATGCCACCCTTCTCACCCCGAAGGGGACTCAGAGCGGCTTACAAGTAATATGTAAATACAATGTATTATATTATTACCATAGCACAATATTAGTATTATATATTACTATATTGTACTATTGTACTATATCATTATACTATAATATTAGTAATATTACATGTAATATAAATATATAACTAGCCGTCGCTTGCCACATGTTGCTGTGGCCCAGTCTGTGTATATGTGTTTTTGTGTATATATATTTCTGTATACGTGTATGTATATGTGTGTGTGTGTGTGGTTTTGCACATGTGTTGTAATGTGGGTTTTTTTCCACTTTTTAAGTCTTTTCTGCTGTGTTTTTCAGTGTTTTTATGAGTGATAGTCATTCGTTGGCCTGATAGGTGTATTGTGTCCAAATTTGGTGTCAATTCACCCAGTGGTTTTTGAGTTATGTTAATCCCACAAATGAACATTACATTTTTATTTATATACATTTGTTGTTCGTTTGTTCAGTCGTTTCTGATTCTTCGTGACTTCATGGACCAGTCCACGCCAGAGCTCCCTGTCAGCTGTCACCACCCCTAGCTCCTTCAAGGTCAATCCAGTCACTTCAAGGATGCCATCCATCCATCTTGCCCTTGGTCGGCCCCTCTTCCTTTTGCCTTCCATTTTCCCCAGCATTATTGTCTTCTCTAAGCTTTCCTTTCCTTCTCATGATGTGGCCAAAATCTTGGCCTCTACTATTCTTCCATCCAATGAGCAGTCAGGCTTTATTTCCTGGAGGATGGACTGGTTGGATCTTCTCGCAGTCCAAGGCACTCTCAGAACTTTCCTCCAACACCACAGTTCAAAAGCATCTATCTTCCTTCGCTCAGCCTTCCCTAAGGTCCAGCTCTCACATCCGTAGGTGACTACAGGGAATACCATGGCTTTGACTAGGCGGATCTTTGTTGCCAGTCTGATGTCTCTACTCTTTACTATTTTATCAAGATTGGTCATTGCTCTCCTCCCAAGAAGGATGCGTCTTCTGATTTCCTGGCCACAGTCTGCATCTGCAGTAATATTTGCACCTAGAAATACAAAGTCTGTCACGGCCTCCACATTTTCTCCCTCTATTTCCCAGATGTCAATTATTCTTGTTGCCATGATCTTGGTTTTTTTGATGTTTAGCTGCAACCCAGCTTTTGCGCTTTCTTTTTTCACCTTGATTAGAAGGCTCCTCAGCTCCTCCTCGCTTTCGGCCATCAAAGTGGTGTCATCTGCATATCTAAGGTTGTTAATGTTTCTTCCAGCAATTTTCACCCCAGCTTTTTTTATATAGATTATAATATTGTATTATATTATAATATTAATATATATAATTATAATATTGTATTACTATATTGTATTATATTATAATATTGAATGTGTATATTCAATATATTATATTGTTAGCACAGTGCAGGAGACAAGGTGGAACTGTCTTCCTGGCCCCTCTCTGCACTCTGGTCCCAGGGCAGTAGTTGGTGCTGGGGAGAGGGGCTCCCGACTGAGGACACAGGAGACAAGGTGGAACTGTCTTCTTGGCCCCTCTCTGCACTCTGGTCCCAGAGCAGCAGTTGGTGCTGGGGAGAGGGGCCCCCGACTGATGGCACAGGAGACAAGGTGGAACTGTCTTCCTGGCCCCTCTCTTCACTCTGCTCCCAGAGAAGCAGTTGGTGCTGTGGAGAGGGGCTCCTAACTGAAGACACAGGAGACAAGGTGGAACTGTCTTCCTGACCCCCTCTCTTCACTCTGGTCCCAGAGCAGCAGTTGGTGCTGGGGAGAGGGGCTCCTGACCAATGGCACAGGAGACAAGGTGGAACTGTCTTCCTGGCCCCTCTCTTCACTCTGGTCCCAGGGCAGTAGATGGTGCTGGGAAAAAGGCCTCCCAACTGATGACACTGTGCAGGTACAGCTGTACCAGGAGCTCCAATTTTGTTTGCTTTGCGTTGAATGTTTGTTTGTAGTCCTAAGTTTCAGGGACTCTGCAGATAGGTGGCTTCTTTGGCTGCAATCATAGGACAAGCCACTTGTCAATTATAGTTAGGTTCCCTGGTCCCGCACCCTTTTTTGGGTTTTGGAGGGAATAGGAGCCAGTTTGGGTTCAGTCCACACAGAGAAGCCTTTCAAGCAGGACATAATACCAAGAACTCCTGTAGAAAGCTTCGTCTTCTACAGCTTGGCCGGGGAGATATACAGCCCACAGCTTGGCCGAGGATCATACAGCATTACAGATCCTTTGCTAAGGGAGGGACTTCAGTCAGCCATCACTGAAACCTGAACTCCTTTTCCCCTGGAGGTCTACAAAGTTCTGCTTGGTAAGGGTCACTCGCGGAAGCCAGACGCAATAGGTACCGGGTGCAGGGGCTCCACACCAACAGAGGCAAAGGCAGACTGCCCAGATTAGAAGTTAAGGATATCCCCATTTGTTAAAATACAGTTTATGAGGATAGTGCCTGTTCCCAGTGAACAAGATTGAGAGAGAGCCAATAGACTGTTAAGAAAGCCTTGAAGTACCTGTTTGTTTTCATTAATAAAGAACTTTGTTGGACCTTTAAGCAATCTAAAGACTCTGTTTTAAGGAAATCCAAAGGCCTTTAATCTGAGGCAGCCCTGGCATCCCGTTGGGCACACATAATTTATGTCCTGTCTACAGTCTGATGCACAGGCCCAGCGTGCGACAGCACAGACACAACTGATAAACATGGGGGGTGTTGTGGTGTGCTTTCTCTGGTCCATAGATGAGGAGTTTCTATGGATCTGGAGGTCAGCTAACTATCCTTTGACCTTCCTGGGAGCTGCACTCATTGCCAAAAACACTTGAAAAATTGTGAAGATGGAAGCAGCCAGAAGTCTTCCACATTTGCTGGAGTTAGGATCACCAAAAAGTGGAAGAACTATGAATAAATGTTTTTTGGGCATCAAAGTGGTATCATCTGCATATCTAAGGTAGTTAATGTTTCTTCCAGCAATTTTTAACTCCAGCCTTGGATTCGTCCAGCCCAATGGAGAAGAAGGCTGGGGCATGCAGTTCCAACTTGGGCCCTCCCTCCAGGTGTTTTGGACTTCAACTCCCA